CGCAGATCAGCCGCGGCCTGTGGAAGAAGTACGGCGACAAACGCATCATCGACACCCCCATCTCCGAGGTACCCCCCGTCCAGCCCCCTCCCCACGACATCCCTGCCCTCTGCCTGCCTGGCGCTGTGCTCACCGTGCTGTCTTCCCTCCCTTGTAGATGGGCTTCACCGGCATCGCCGTGGGAGCCGCCATGGTAGGTGGCCCAGTGCCACACACATGGGCGAGGAGCTGGTTTGGAAACGGGCCGGGGGGGGCTGCACTGCCTGGTCGGTCTCCATGGGATGTGCCTGCTTGGTGTGCTGCGGTGCTGTAGCCCCAAAGGGGGAGTGGGGTCAACCCCCCAGGGCATCGGGCGCTGTGGCTACGGGGCGCCAGGAGGCTGGACCCGCGAACCAGCCATCGTTACGTGCAGATCCTAGGCCGAGAGCCGGGAGGTTTTGTGACTCGCCTGTGTCCTCATTTAACAGGCTGGGCTGAGGCCAATTTGTGAATTCATGACCTTCAACTTCTCCATGCAAGCGATCGACCAGGTGATCAACTCTGCGGCCAAGACCTATTACATGTCTTCCGGCATGGTCTCGGTGCCAGTGGTCTTCAGAGGCCCCAACGGCGCCTCGGCCGGAGTCGGCGCACAGCATTCACAGTGCTTTGCCGCTTGGTACGGGCACTGCCCTGGACTGAAGGTGGTCAGCCCTTGGAGCTCCGAAGATGCAAGAGGTCTCCTTAAGTCGGCCATCCGGGACGACAATCCAGGTAATTACCAACAAAGTCCTGCTGTACTTGAATAACTAGTCTGTGTGTGTGATGCTACAGCTACGTGCCCTCCGCTTCCCTTCTCCACCTTGACCCCGTGAAGAACATGCTTAAAGCATGCGACTCAAATTGTGAAGCTAATCCTAGAGACCTTTTCTCCTGACTGCGACCTCTTCTTCAAAACCAAAGTTAAACTAGAAGAGCATTTCCCAACCTTTTTGTCCCCACAGCACTTACCTAAATAAAGAAGCATCACGGCACACGGGGCGTGGAGCAGGGGGGTGGTGCATGGCCAGCCGGACACCAACAGGGAGGGGTGGCACACGGCCAGTCCAGCAGCGTGTTGGGCTGGAGTCGTGCTTCTCATCTGTCTGTGTCCGCCCACAGCAGCAGCAGGCAGGGGGCTTGGCTCCAGCCTAGCATGGTGCAGCATTGGTTGGGAAACGCTGAACTAGAATGTGGGCAACAGATGGTCAGCTTGTACATTGCTGTCCTAGGAAAAGGATGATAAGCATAGCACTGTCCCTTTAGACCCACTCCTGTAGACATCATTTGTGTGTCTGTGGAACAAATGTGGAAGTAGTCTTGGAGCAAGTTCTGCATTTCTGATTACCTCCCAAATGTTGCATCTCCAAATGCTTAGTGTAAAATCACCCTCAGGATATGGGATCAGTCAGTCAAAGAAGCCATTTCAAAATTGTGCAATGCTACAAGTTAGTAGCTACTTAAGTGAAGCTTCAAGTCCTTTGGGCTTGTCTAAGCGTGCTGCTGCATTATACTTGTCCTCCTGTAAATTGAGCTAAGAAGAGTCCACCATCGTGGGCCCTGACAGTCTTGGAAAATGTTGTATGGCACCTGGATTGGGGACCTCCAGACTAACCCAAGTGACCACTCTTATGATCTTTAGTTGTGATGCTGGAACATGAACTGATGTATGGAGTTCCCTTTGAGATGTCAGAGGAGACTCAATCAAAGGACTTCTTGGTTCCTATTGGCAAAGCCAAAATAGAGAGGCCAGGTAAGTTCAGAATACCACTGTTCTGTATATTCTCACTTTTAAAAGTTTTTTCCTTGCTAGACCAATTGAACTCATTAACTGTTTTCCGTTATAAAGTACTTCCTTCTTGCAAAACATGGAACTATTTAAAAGGACACTACACTAAGACTTCTGGTCATTTGGATTTTACCAGCTATTTGTTTTTAGCACTTATTACTCACAGAGAAAGTAATTTAGGGTAGGGCCATCTTGACCCAAAATTAAAACACTTTCTAATGGCCAGCTAGGCCTGGTGCAGGTGTCAGGTGTATGGACTGTCTGGAATGAATGAAAAAAAAAAAAACAACACCCACCAACTAGAGTTTAGAGTCTTTGCTCAGCATATCAAGAGAGGTCACTAATGTTCAGCATTTCAAACCTCTTGTCAGTTGTGTATAACTTCACTGTAGAAGCATGCAAGCAACTTGTTACTCATGGCATAGTAAGTTGATCCCATCCATTCTGCCAATATGCAGAGCACAAGAATGATGCTCTTAAGTAGTCAAACTCAGGAAGAGTTCCAGTAACAGATTTCTCAGGCTAGTTCTGACATGCAAATCAGATGCTGAGTACACTAGACTTGACCTAGGTCAATAAGGTGAGGTCTTACACTTACCTTTTCAGAGATGTTTAGTGTTGAGCTGCTTGACAGGAAGATCTGTCTTGATCCACCACCAGCTTCTGTGTTTCAGGAATGCACATTACGTTAGTGTCACACTCGAGGTCTGTTGGACACTGTCTGGAAGCAGCTGCTGTCCTTGCCAAAGAAGGGGTGGAGTGTGAGGTATGTCCCACTCACTCAGCGGTATTTCAGGCCAGGATGAAAAAATCTGTCATTTAAATTGGATTCATTCTCAACTGCTTTGATTACTGAGGTAAAAAGGGATTCAGCTATGCTTGTGCTGTGCCAGCAAAGTGGAAGTTTGCATTTGAGATTTCAAAACAGCATGCTACACTTGGTAGGATTCCACAGTTTTACTGATGCAGTTCCAAAGGTGCCGCGAACACTAAATTCATAGCTTAAAATCTGTGTTCAATGCAATTTGAGCCCTTAATTTTTGTTATCTACTGAGTCTTTGGCACTGGCTCCAAAGCTAAATGTATACATTGCTTGTGTCATGCTTATGTTCCCCTTGCTTGTTGTCTGTGGGTAACTAAAGGTCTTGTTTACTGTGCAAGGAAGCTTCATGGAGAAACATGCAAGTGTGCAAGTATCCTTGCACTCCCCTATAAAAGCAAGGGCAGTGAGTTGAGCCAAGGTAAGACAGTTTGCTACAAATAGTGTGGCTACAAGTAACTACCAGGTTGATACCACTAGAGGCATCCCCTCTGGAGACAAGGTGAAGAGTGCATCCTACAACTGTGGAGGTAGCTGAGGTAAATATAGCAGAGCAGAAGGCATAGGAGAGATCTAATGTGTTGTCTTTCATCAGACTCCTGGTTCTGGGGGAGGAGGGTAAGGCTGCCTAAAACGAATACAGAGTACTCTTGAAGTGAAAGACTCTGCTCCAGTATGCAAGGGGCGGGGGGGCAGGAGCTAGGCTTAAAGGACGTAGTACCAAATCACTTACCACTCTCTCTTCCAGGTGATAAATCTCCGCACCATTCGCCCAATGGATGTTGAAACTATAGAAGCCAGCATTATGAAGACAAATAACCTTGTAACAGTGGAAGGAGGTTGGCCGCAGTTTGGAGTAGGAGCCGAAATATGTGCCAGAATCATGGAAGGTATCTTTTGCTCAGCTCCTGTAACTTGTATATATCTGTACTTTGTCACTTGCCTCTAATCTATTGCTTTCCTGGTACGTGAACTCCTTCCAGCCAATCATAGAATCATAGAAGTAGGGTTGGAAGGGACCTTGTAGATCTTCAAGTCCAACCCCCCGCCTGGGCAGGAGAAAAAAAACTGGGCTCAAATGACTCCAGCCAGGTAGGCATCAAGCCTCTTCTTAAAGACCCGGGTAGGAGCCAGCACCACTTCCCTTGGAAGTTGGTTCCAGATCCTAGCCGCCCTAACTGTGAAGTTGTTCTTACGGATGTCTAATCTAAACCTACTCTCCAACAACTTGTGGCCGTTATTCCTAGTTATGCCAGGGGGTGCTAGGGGAAACAAGGTCTCTCCCAAACCCTTCTGGTCCCCCCTCAGCTTTCCCCTTGTACTTGCCAGGCTTGGCTGTTCATCCTTCACAAGAGAAAGTACAAAGCCTGTTTTGCTGACATACTAGATGCTAAGTCAGAAAAGTGTGTGTTAACTTCTGAAGTAACAAGAGCCTTAGTCCCTTGTTCGACCGCACTCATCACCTCTCTGAGGCATGGAGCTTCAAGCAGCTCCTGGGAAGCTGAGCACGTAAGGGTCACCGGATCACTTTGCTGAAGCATTCGCTCTTAAGTGTTTGCTGAATGAAGGGACCAAACAGCAAAAACATCTGGTTTCATTTAACCAAGGAAAGCTGCAAGAGCAGGTTTGCAGTGCGGTTCTGTAAGACCCCAAATACCCAGAACAGGCCACTTTTGTGAAACTGCAGGTACATCAAGGAACAACGGCTAGCTCTGCATGGCTTAAGGTGCCTTTCTTTGTTCCAGGACCTGCCTTCAATTACTTGGATGCTCCAGCTGTGCGTGTCACAGGGGCAGATGTTCCTATGCCTTATGCAAAGATCTTGGAAGAGAACTGCATACCTCAAGTGAAGGATATCATCTTTGCAGTGAAGAAAACGCTAAATATCTAGACTGTTACAAACATGTTCTTCTAAAATGTCTTAGTTTAAAGCATATGGAGTGTACTACAAACTATTGTGTTCATAACTGCCTTGTATAGCTTCGTGAACCTTTCTGTACAGAAAGAAAAGGTTAAATGACACTTTAAAAATTATTTATATGGCTAATTGTGTAATAAGCCAGCGTTTCAGTCACCCTTCCAGCTCTAAGCAGCTCCGTGGGGAAGTATATAGCTGTGTTCGTTCCAGTCTCATGCTGTAATTTTGAATCTGTACCCTCTCCGAGAGTTGATAGTACCAGTGAATGGATTGTTCTTCTATTGCTGTCAGAGAGTCTCATTCTAAATTATCTTAATTTAGTATGAGAAATAAATGACTACCCAGCCGTGCTGTCTGTCTACTACTTACAACAGGTCAAATGAGTGGTTTGAAAATGAAAGAACAGCCTAAAGGCTGCTACAGGGCAGAGCTGGACTCTAAGTTTAGACTGGCTCTACAGCTGCCTTTTATCACAACTCAGATGTCAGTCTGCACTTGCACGGGCCTCTTTTGCACCTGCTTCTTAGAGCTGTAAGACTAGGGTGCATATTTCTAGAAACAGGTGTGGTGATGGAGCCATTACCACAGAAAGTGTGCGCGCTGGACTTGCAGTTCTGGACTTTCTGTTCACACTTTGGGGCTCTAGAGCTGCAAAGGCTCCAGTTGAGGTTGATGAGTAGTGTCAGCAAGGAGTCCCCAAGACAGCTTCTACCTTGTAGATCAGTCATTTCAATCCTTCCACCTACAGTCTCTCCAGCATTGCCTAGTCAAGCTGTTCTTGGCTTCTAGTCCCCTGCCCCCCTTCATTCAGTTCAGTTTCAGATCAGCTGAAGTACCTGGTATGGTAAAACAGCAGCCTGGGGAAGATTTTCCTCCACCCTATTCACTGTTTGGCTTAGTTCTAAAGGCTTTCTACAGTGCAGTTAAAAGAATAAAACCCAGGTAGGAATCCTGTAAAGCTTACATACTACTATGCCACAGTAAGACAACTGCCACAGTACTTTAAAATACAGGGGGTTTGTGGACAATGGAGATTAGCTAAACCTGAGCAAAATCCCTGACACGCATATGCCAGTATCTTACTGCTGATCAGCTGGAGTGTTGTGCTAGGATAGCTTGTGGCAGCTTTCCTGTGCCAATACAAAGGCTCAGCTTTTATAGTAGAAGCAATTTTGCTAGTATAGCACACCACCATTCTTAAATCCCTCTGTGCATGAACACAGCCAAAGGAAGCCTGCACCTTGGCCTTTTCATGACTCAGCAAGCTTGGGTACAGGGAGCATCTTAGAGATGCACTTGCAGATGTTTGGCCTGCCCAGGCTTACTTCTGTGGTGTATCCCCTTAGCGAACTGTTACTCTGCTATTCAAGACCCCAGTTTCTACCCTCATGAACAAGGTTAGCACAAGGGCAGTTCCCTGTCTCACTCCACTTAGTAATGCCAACGTGTCTTAATTAGTATGCAAGCAGAAGCTTACATTGGAGTTTCTTTGCAAAGTCCAGTTTACAACAGTTCTGAAAGCATCTACCACCATTCTGATTGGAGAAATTCCATTGACATTTATTTTAATAAAAATAAGACTGAATATATATCACAAGTTACATGAAACTTTATACACAGACATTCTCTGCATAGTAACAAACACTGATGTACTTGAATTTAAAAATGGATTATCATAATCCTTTAAAGTGCAATTTGTTTAAGGTTTTAAGCAAATCTTAGAATAAAGGATCTTTCAAATAAAGATATTAAATTGTAAAATTGTGTTTTGTGATTTTCCCCAAAACCAAAATTAGTTTCATGTGGATGAAAAACTTGGGTGTGTTGAATAATAATCCAGTGCCAAATTCACTCTCTCCAATTATTTCTTGAATTAACACACCATTTCCCCTGCAAGTGCAATAGATAGCTAGGAAGAGCAGGTTTGGGGTGGTTAGTTCAAGCACGTGTAATCCTGACCAGCATTCAGGCTACTCTCCAACAGCAAACACGTGGAGACAGAATCAAGTCCGCAGTTCCCTCTCCCTCACCTGTGTGCTACACTTTGGATTAAGTGCTTTTTTTAAATGATCTAAAACAAAGTTGCTGATTTGGTGCAGCAAACATTTAATGTGCCAACTATAAGACAATGCTGGAAAGTAACTCGGAGCAGACCAAAATTAGATTTGAGCATTTGAAACAAGGGGAAGAGTAGAATCAGAGAAAAAAAAAATTACTGATTCACCATTGTCAGAGCTGTTCCTAATTTCAGCCTTTAATTTGTTGGTAGAAAAAAAAACAACAACCTGCTGCACCTCTAGAAACATGCATTTGGCTAAAGACCAGAATTCCTTTACCTGGAATAAAGGAAGTGGATACTTGTCACCAGGGCATGGCAATGCAATTCAAACTATGGTGCTGCTAGTTAAAGGAGAGAAATTCCTAGAACAAGCTGAAATGGGTCTGAAGAGACAGCTGCAGAATACCACCCCTCACTGGTGGCTCAATCATCAATTGTGAAGGGCATCTGTCCATGGAGAACATGGGAGGGAATCCAATCGTGGCGTAACCAGTAACTTCAACTGATCCTGGGAGCACTGTGGTCACACGTCTCTGTTTTCTTCAAAGTTCCTTTCTGAAACCCTTGAATGGAGCTAAGTAAGGCTCCTCGGCTTGCGCTGATGGCAGGCCGAGGGTCAGGCTGTATTGGCACATCCGTATTAGGAGGGGGAGCTGCTGGTGGTGGCAGTGGTGGAGGTGGAGGGGGTATTGATGCTGCTCCTGTGGAGTTGAGACAACATGTAAATCAATAAATACATCCACGGAACTCGCTTGCAAAGGCACTTGAGCCAAAGACTGCAGGTCCCTTGCTATGTTACTAGCCAGTATATTTGGCAGTAATTCTTGAGCACGTGCTGCTGCAGATTGTGGAATAGGAGGATCACAGAAACCGAGATAGACCTAGCAGATCTAATCCACCCTCCTGCAAATGCAGGGCACAGGGATCCCCCATTACACCAAGTCATCCAAGCCATGTCTGAAGACAAGCTCTGCGTGCCCCATTTCTTGGGAACTCAATGAATCATACCACTAGAAAATACAAGAAACTGTTATGCACTGGCTGAGAGGAACAAACCAAGGCTCTGAGGTTATAGGCTCTGGCACCAAGTCATACAGGGCATATCTACAGATGTGCCAGACTCTGCAGTCATTTAGGTAATGGGTTTGTGTGTATCTATCTCCTTTCTCTCTCAGCGTCGCGAACCCCCTCCCTACCCCATTCACCCTTCCCCCCACCCCGGGGCTTAGTTGGCTAACATAGTATCGCTTGTAACCTAGTCCCGTTCCCCTCCTCTTCCCCATCCCTCTATTGTTAGTCCCTCGCTCGGGCGCTTTGTATTTCCATCTCAGCTTTGTCATCTTTTTTCTGGATTCCCAATCAAAACATCCACTAATAAAAGTCAATTTGCTTACACAAGTACTAAATGTCTATGCAGTAGCCAATGTTGCTGCAGTCACGATGCTGCATGGGTTGTTTCCAACACTACACTGCTGTAGTGACAAGCTATGGCCATGTAGCATCTCGTGTGGATGCGCCTAGTTACCTATTCATAGCTACATCACAATTTCAGGTTCTTAAGGGGGTATCAGCTGGCACTGATTGCCAGGGTCCTGTGTATAGATTGACAATACACAGAGGCCAGATAGTTTCTGAAAGCTCACCAGCAGTTTTGCAATGAGTGGAAAGGGCACTTCTTATTAAGTCTTACCCTTGAATCGTGATATCCTCTTAGCTCATCATAGACTCATGAAGGCTGTGAGTATGAATCGTAAATGCCACAGGAATGACTCCTTTTGCATTGCAAAACCATGACTTTGGGTAATTCCCTGTTACGTCCTGACTTAGACCTGTCCTCAATTGTCTGAGAGCTGTGCTGCCATGCACCAGACATAAATACACAAGTAAATAAGATGTTCAACTGCGATCTCTAATAGTTCTACCACACATGGCCACACACAGTCAGATGTGGCATTTCTAGTGCACCCTCTCTCAGGTAACAAGATGAGCATTTCAAATATCCAGTTCACATATCCTACAGAGGATGGAGATGGATAAGGGCTCAGCTGTGTGCTTATTCAATAATATTCAAGTCCTCCATGCAGGTAAGCGTTTGACAATGTGTTATCCAGTAACCAGACTGGAAAGCAAGGAATCTGAAGTCAATGGGACTGCATTTATTTTTGCCAGAACTAGCATATTGGAGGACACTGCTAACAAGAGATGAGAACTGTGCCACTGTCTGAGAATGAAGAGAAGAGGCCAGGCTAACAGAGCAGTTACCAAGGTTTTCACTGGCAGAAAATGGCTCTAATTAAAAAGACGCAAGGATGCATTTGAGAGGTTTTCAATGAAGTGTCAGGCCTGTGGTTGAGCAACAGAAAGCAAGCATAGGGAAGCCATTCTGTTCTCTACTTGTCACATTTCTCCTTGCTGCACGATGATCTTAGATCAACTACTGATGGTGAAAGAAAAACAGGCTTGGTTTGAGAAGAGAAGTGACCTTAGCTCAAATTTCCCTTGTTTTCATTCTGTGTCAGGTCTTAAAGGCTTTTTTCCTCCCCCAC